GAAAAATATGGGAGGAAAGTGACTGTTTCCAGATTCTCCACACTGAGCACAGTGGGTTTTTACCTACCTTTAACAAAGCACCAAGTATATGATGTGGACTTACTTAAATTGTTGAAAAAGAGGCCAGGAGTGATGGCTCAGCTGCTGGGAGTACTTGCTGCTCTTCTAGAGGACCTGAGCTGCATTCCCAGCACCCACACAATTGCTTCACAACCATATGTAACTACAAGGGAACAACAGCTTCTTCTGACTTCCTCAAGCATGCATATGATGAACATACAGAGATGCAGGCAAAACTCACATAGATAAAATAAATTTTTGTTTTGTGTTTTTTGAGACAAGGTTTCCCTGTGTAGCCCTTGCCTGGAACACACTCTGTAGACCAGATTGGCCTCGACCTCAGAGATCCACCTGCCTCTGCCTCCAACTGCTAGGACTAAAGGTGTGTGCCACCACAGCCTGGTTAATAAAAATCAACAAAATTTTAAAAATCTAGAAAAAAAATTTAAGTTAAAAAAATACTTAAACATAATGACAAATTCAAGGTGGCAGGGTTATCAGCTATTTTTTGTGTGTGTTATTCTGGATTATCTAATTTTAAAAAGAAAAACCCTCAACTAGTATTCTAGAATAAACGGGCTGACACAGGCAACTCAGGCTGTGAGCTTAGGATCTGCACAGTTAACTCCAGAAACTGTGAAACACGATTAAATAAATCAATAAGCCAATGAGCTTCAAGCTACTGTTCAATCTTTTCATTAAAATCTCATGCCATCAACACTAATAATGACTCTTTTCTGCGATTCATGTATGATCAACAGTTTATTCTACATAAGTTAATAAAATGGAAATAAAATCTTAAGTCTTCAGCCTTTGACATAGGCTACCCTGGCAGTGAAGTACTATACTGGCATAAACTAGGTATATACCATATTTGATATCACAGATGAAAAAAGTGCAAGAGTACTTGAGTGATAAGCAATACTGTTTTACTGGCTGAGCCAGCTCTATGAAAAAAACACCACATAAGATCCCTGGCACTAGATGATATTCCAGCAAGGATCAGGAGGCTTTCCAATGTAGCTACAGCTTGGTAACAGAAGAACAATGCACTGAGCTGTGCATTCTCAAAGTGTACTTCACATAGTGAGTATATTAGAAGAAACCATGGTGCTCCTGCGATAACCTGATAAGCTACTGACACCTGATGTAAATGCTTCCTACAAACGTAAAAGTGAAACAAGCAGCAAGAAGTACTTTAGGAAGTAATACTTCTACAACAGCCTTCAGAACTTACTCAACAAACATTTGACCACACATTGCTTGCCCCCAGGCTGTTAGAGGTGTAAAGACTACATCCTGGACCTTCACTGATCCTTACAGTATGATCTTTTAATCTGGAAGGCACCCGAGAAACACCTGTGACAGTCCTGTGCTCAAAGTCCACCTTTCACTACAGTTTTGTTAGTGATTAACATTCAACATACTAAAATTTAAAACAGGTAGCGAGGCAGAGTAACCATCCACTGGGACTGAACTACTCAAAATGTGCTCTCTGGCTACTAATTATTCTAGTTGATAATTTTTGAATAAACACACAATATTATCTGTGTTATCGTCTTACAAAAATATTAGATATTAGATGCTTGGCCAAAATTCCAAATTATACTTACTCCTATAGGGGGAAATCCTACATCTTTTTTTTTTTTTTTTTTAGCCTGTATGTGCTGAAAATTAGTTTCAATACCAATTAAATTATTATATTTAATTCTGAATACTGTGTTGACTTGATAATACCTAGTTTGGAGGTGATTTTGAAGGTTGAAAATCTAGAAGAAATCAGATACTGCATCCCTGAAACAAGGCAGGGAAGCATTAAGCTCTACCTGTTTAACTGCTTTCTTAACACACACCCAAGAAATACGATAGAACTCTCGATGGGAGAAGCTTTCTTCTAGGTTACTTATTAAAAAGTTCCCAGGAAAGAGACTGTAAAGAAATTGAGAACTAATTCAAGATACAAACTGTTTGATATTAGCTACATGTTATTCCAAATACCAAAACCCACTACAACATAATACCACAAAATTTTTGTCCTTTTAACTGTGCTTTTTAAACATTCTATTTATAAGATTATAGACTCCTTTTCCTCTAACCTATCTGAGCATAATGATTTAACATATTTTAGGGGAGAAGGACTGGCCCCATGGGCTGACCCACTGAGATTTACCCACAGACTGAACATACATTCTTTTAAGACGCATGCATGTATGTATGTAGGTATGTATGTAGGTAGGTAGGTAGGTAGGTAGGTACATATTATGTGTGTACGTATGTGCCCAGAACTACAAAGAATAAAAATTTCAAAATCAAACAAAAGCATGTGTGAACTGAATGAGATGGCCCATCAAAGCTAGAATCATCACCTTAATTTAAGACTACGATTAAGAGCCGGGCGGTGGTGGCGCACGCCTTTAATCCCAGCACTCGGGAGGCAGAGGCAGGTGGATCTCTGTGCGTTCGAGACTGGGCTGGACCGACAGCCTCCAAAACAATACAGAGAAACCCTGTCTCGAAAAACCAAAAAAAAAAAAAAAAAGACTACGATTAATACATGGCTTGTCAGCTATCACAACACACCAAGTAAACAATGTGAATCAAAAACCTGTACAAAACATGTTCATTCCTGTCATATTTCTTTCCCATTACGAAACAACTGCTTCACCAGCAGTTTCCAAAGTGCTAAAAATGTACCTCTCAAATTTAAAAGCAACAGATCTTCAAGACAACTTTGTTAATCTTCTAAAATTCTATCTCCATGTTGTCACTACTACTCACCCAGGAAATGTTTCTTCTCCCTTTTTAATTTCTATCAGCACATCAAGGGAACTCTTGAATCAGAAATAAATAATAAGCTGGCGAGGTCCTGAGAAACAGTACTTAAAGTCAAAATTAAAGATTCCTTTTACTAAGATTAATCTATTCAATCTTCTTTGGTTGGTTGGTTGGTTGGTTGGTTGGTTGGTTGGTTGGTTAGTTTTCCAGACAGGGTTTCTCTGTGTAGCCCTGGCTGTCCTAGAACTCATTCTGTATGTAAACAAGGCCTAACTCACAGAGATTTGCTTGTCTCTGTCTCCTGAGCGCTGAGATTAAAAAAAGGGATGCGATGCTACCAATACAATCCTGTATATATCAGGTACAGCAGTAAAGAAAGTTATTTACAATAACAAAATGCCACAGAAGTCCATGACTTATTCAGCCTAGAAATTATAGAGACTGGGCATCAGACAGCTATTTGTCTGCCCTCTGCCACAATCCTTCATAAGGACAGGGGAATTTGCAATTATTCAAATAAGATTACACTAACTGAATGTTTTCAAAAATACCTATTTCCCATTTATTATCAAGATGTTCATTTGAAAATTACTTTTAGCTACTCACACCAAATCATTCTTCTCTTGGATATACACCTAATTTAAAAGTTATGACAGTAAAAACCTTTAGTATCCCCCATAGCTTAAAACTTCTTTAAATGCTAATTATTTGTGGGTTTTTGCCCTTATTAGTATGATTGATGAGGTCTTTTAAATCTCACTGAAAATTATTAGACTGCATAATGGAATAAATACAAAATAACCAGTATGTCAAATAAGACACTATACATAAAGGTTATAGAACTTGAATATGCTAGAAAGAACAGCCAAGAGCCAAGGAAAGGTCTGGTAGGAGTTTCATCAAAACTCTGCCAATTGTGGGGCAAGGTAGACATGAATCAAACTGTATTTTATTCTTCAGTACTTCCTACTATGAAGGATCAGTATGTAACATAACTTTGTACTTTTCTCCAGAATCAATTAAGAACTTTCTCACTTTCTAGTCAACATCAGCCAAATCTAAAAGGCTACAAGTTACTCGGAGCCTGGTAATAGTAACTTTTCTTCCTTGACCCAAGAAGGCAGAGTGCCAGAGGGAAATAGCAAAGAGTAGCACTATATAAACAGGGCAAATGGTACAAGAGCAGAGCCAAGTTATATAACCAAAATATATTTTAAAATATGTTCAGAACTCGTAACAACCTTTGCCTTTGGTTGGTTTCTTGTTTGGAGTATCAGTTGAAACAGTTAATTCAATATTATCTGGATCGCCTCCTTCCTCTTCAATAGCCTACATTAGAAAGAGAAGTTAATATGCTACACAGACTATCTAAACTTATTTTATAAAAACTTAATTAAAATATATTAGCAAACCTCAAGCCTCAAGACATTAGAATTGCCAGTTATTTTACAAACCGACTTCACGAACGAGTTATTATACTACGGGGGGGGGTCGTCATTAAGTATCAAAATGTCATGGAACTTCAACCAATCGATAGTTATATGTCACATATACTGAACAAGCATCTAGCTACTTAAATAAGGAAGAGTTTTCCTAACATGTATTGCGTACACTTGTTCCCCTCTCTGATTCCAAGGCTTCACGTGAATAAACCTGAAAGCTTAGAGAAGCTGAGAACGTAGATTACGCTGATGCAATCAGAAATTAAAAATTAAAAATAAATCAACTAAAAGCCCAGGGGAAGAGGATAAACCTTCCTTCTCAACCACCCATCAACTCCCACTATCGATTTTTCCGAACAGGGGTGAAGAAACGGTTGGGCACAATTAAACGGTAACTTCGGCCAAGTCAGCAAACTAACCATCGCCTCGAAGCCCGAGCGAAGCACGCGCTGCGCACCGACCGCAGGCCGGTATACCCAGCGCCGCCCGGTTCTGCAGCACCGCCCTCGGCAGGCCGCGGCGCCGACCGAGAGGACGTCCCGGGGGAAACGGGGGCGCGACCAGCGGCGGCTCGCGAGGCCGCTGGAAAGCCAGGCTTGTCGCGGAGGCTCGGGCCTCGCGCACCCGGCACGCAAAGGCGCCGCCCGGTCCGCCCCGACCACGGAAGCTCAGCAACCAAGCGGCGCGGCCTACGCTGCCCTGCGTACAGCGCCCGGGCCTCACCTGCTTCAGTCGGGAGACCAGCACCGTCTTGACCCCGTTGATGTCCAAGTTGCGGCGCTTCAGCTCCGACCTGAGGTCGATGACCCGCAGCTCGGTGATCTTCTTCCCTTCCGTCTGCCCCGAGACGGCCGAGGCTGCCACGGCCCCGGCAGCGGCAGCCATTTTGGGAAAGCAGCGCGCTGCCGAGGCAGCGAGTGGGCTGCAGGGCGGCGGCGGCGGAGGAGGAGGCAGCGGCGGTGGAGGCGGTGGCCGCGGCAGCACCAACTTCCAACCCGGGCCCGGGCGGCCAGCGGCGCCGCGCTACGCTGCGCACAATGAGCCGCTGACCACGCCCCCCGCGGGGACCACGCCCCCCGGCCCGCAGCCCCAGCGCAACCTGCAGCGGCACCCGGATGACGGGTGCGCGTGCGCACTGAGCAGGCATAGCGGGGGCGGAGCTCTGAGAGACTAGCGGCGCTGTCCCTGGCGTGGCCCGGGACCGTCCTGCGCGTCCGACCGCACAGCTGTCCTTTGCACCGCGGTCCCCACCTCTTCTTCTCGTCGCATCTACCAATCTGGAGCCACCGCCGCGTGAGAGGCACCCTACAGTACAGAGAGCAGGCGCGTCTCTCCACCCAAACGAGGGGGCGTGTGCGCACGCCTAGCCTCCCCGGAAGAAATACGGAATCGTCGCAGAAAGGTGGTCGAGGTACACCAGAAAACCTGGGTCGGCGGGTTCCGCCCCCGAACGCCCTGCGAAATCTGTGAGCCCAGGGGACCTGGCTCTCCCAGGAGCAGTGTCACGCTGCGACCCCCTGAAGCTTTCTTATTTCGTTCTAGGGCGGCCCCTGTTTACCTGAAAACCATCGGGGAAACGCCCTCTCCGTGTTGGCCTGTTTGCCTATTCACCCCGCTAGACCTAACGACTCAATGAAACTTCACAAAAAGAGATCAGCTTATAAGTACTTGTTTTCCTCATCCTGTGCCGTGTGTGCTGTCTGGCGTCCCCAGCATTTGGGATGTCAAGGACAGGAGCCTCCTCATGGAGAACCAGCCCGTACTACTCTATATATCTTCGTAGTTTTAGTCAGTATTATCAATCATCACAACATAAACATTTATGGAATAAGCTGAAAGTTCGATCAAGTTAGTTGGATACACAAGGAACTGAACTAACATTTACTGGTGGTGGGTTTTGTTTGTTTGTTTTTACCTCTTTCTCCAATATCCTGGTTTTGAAACAAATTGGTGAGGTGTGACTGACTCACAACTGGGTTGCCTTTTCTCATACAATTAGCTCAAATGGAGGAAAACTGGACATTATAAAAATCATACCTGACAGTTTGGTATTTCTTTGTGGCTTTTTTTATCTTTTAATTCAGAGTGTCTTTGAGTAGACCCTGCTGTTTTTAAACTCTATCTGTAGCCCAGATCCCCTGCCTCCTGCCTCTGGAGTGCTGGAATTAAAGGTGTGCGCTACCACCGCCCAGCTTTCTTTATAGCTTTTAAGGAACTCTGGGATATAACAACTCCATAATCCTTCCCAACTCTAAAGTAAATCTCCCGGATGCTTAAAAAGATTAAATGGCTTACAAAAGTTTGAATGGTTTGTATGTGGCAGAGCTGTGCTAGTGTTCAAACCTCCTGATTGCTAGTTCAGCTATCTGATACTACAAGTGAGTTTCACACAGAATTTTAGAGTTCAAAGATACTTAATCTTCCAGACCAATTGCACCCCATCCCATCCCTTCACAATAAATGAAGATGTTAAATTTTGCTTAAGGGACAACACCTATTGGTCATGTTGGCGGTAAACCTTAGGTTTTATTCTATCATTATTCTCCTTCTGGATCATTTTCTGTGGATCCTTTTAACCAGAGATCTAATTGCTAATTCCAAATTAATGATATATTCAAGAGGAATGAATTTTTACTCAGCTGTTTCCTTCTAAGGGGAAAAAGATCTCTAATAATGGAGTAATTTTTTTTTTTTTTTGGTTTTTCGAGACAGGGTTTCTCTGTAGCTTTGGAGGCTGTCCTGGAACTCACTTTGTAGACCAGGCTGGCCTCGAACTCACAGAGATCCGCCTGCCTCTGCCTCCCGAGTGCTGGGATTAAAGGCGTGTGCCACCAACGCCCGGCTGGAGTAATCTTAAAATGGAAATCTGTGCATTCTCATCGGATACCCTTGAGAAAGATTTTTACTTTCACAAATACACATGAATCTGGTAAGGAATAAATAACAGATTGTCTTTAGTTTTCCCAAAGATACCTGCTCTGACCTCTTCAAAAGAACACTGTGGTGAAAATAAAAGCAGTGAGACCAAACACAACAAACATGATCTATGTTTATTATTTGGGTCCTGGCTCAAAGAAGGTGTCGATAATAAAGGGACAATTGGAATCAACTTATTAGATTGTGTCATTTCACCGATGTTAAACATGTGGAATAGGATAGGATTTTGTTGTAGAAAGTCCTAGTAGAAGTAGATAATGTCATTCTGCCTGCAATTTATTTGCAAATAATTGGAGAAGGGAAAAAATGGCATTATGTTAGCAGTCACCAACTCTGATGACCTCCATCCCCAGAACCTACATCCAGGTGGAAGGAAAGAATTAACTCCACAGCTGTCTGCTGGCCTCCAGACATGTACAATAGCACAAAATGCAAACACACACATCACACGCACACACACAATAACTGGAAGGTGATATGACAATATATTTTTATATACAGCCACTAATTTATTGAGCCTTTAACTCTTACATTTTCATAAAAACTCATCAGTCAACAAATCTATGTTCAGAAGTATTTGGTATATTAAAGGCAGACCTGGCTCTGAGAAGACAATGTTATCATTTCTGCCTTGCTTTTATGGTATGGACTCTTAACATGTGCTCTCATGAATACTAAAGGCTTAAAGAACACATGAAACTTATATTGTTATATCAAAGCAAAACATCAATAGGTCAGAAAAAGAAGGGCAATTACAACTGTAGCCAGTGAGATGAAGTAGAGCATAGTACCCTGAAAGCCTGTAATATTTTTTAAGAAATAACCCTCAGAAATTGATTGACTGGTTATTTTTTTATGGAAGAGAAAAGTTAACTGTGCCAATAAGTCAGACATAGTAGTGCACACCTATAGATGATTGAAAGTTTAGGGCCAGCTTAAATTAGGGAGACCTCATCTCAGAAAAAGAAGGGTCAATAACTGGTTCAAGAGCACAGCCTAAATTGATGATCCTGAATGATTCCAAGTCCATTGCCTTTTAAAAATTCTAAGTTCCAATTTATACTGTTCACTTCTGAGATTTCTTGTCACCTTCCTGCACATCATTGCTCCTGACAGCTACCCCCAAGATAGGCTTATAAGTCTTCCCCGTGTCAAAATGTCTTTACTTGACCCAGCTATTTCCTGTTGACAGAAAATGCATTATTGTGTCCTTTTCCTAAAAGAAAGTGTGGAACTTCTGACAATGACAGAGGAGGCAAATGATACACACACAATGCTTACTCAGCTATATTTAAGGACCCAAAGATGTTCCTGAGTAGCAGATAGTGTACTTACCTAACATGAACTGTAGCCCAGTACTTGATTCCCTGCACCAGAGAGAGAAGTGGAGAGGACACACAGAAAGAGACTGAGAGTGAAATCTGAGGAGATGAAGCCACCATTTGAAGAAAAGAAAAAAAAAAGAGCCTTTTGTTAATGCTGAAAAGCTGTTAAGACACTAAACATCCTTAAGTAATTTTTAAGGACATAAAGTGAAGGGAAAAACTGTAAGAGCTGTCCTGGGAAAGAGGCCATCCCAAGTTTTGTTTTGAGATGCTAATGTGTTACATTATGGAACCAAAGATAAACTTGAACCAAAGAAATCTTGCAAGGAGGCCAGGCGGTGGTGGCCCAAGCCTTTAATCCCAGCACTCAGGAGGCAGAGGCAGGCAGATTTCTGTGAGTTCAAGACCAGCCTGGTCTACAAGAGCTAGTTCCAGGACAGCCTCCAAAGCTACAGAGAAACCTTATCTCTAAAAAAGCCAAAAAAGAAAAAAAAATATTGCAAGGAATGTGTAGTAGTTTGAATGTAATTGGCCCCCATGATCTCATAGGGAATGACACTATTAGGAGGTGAGGCTTTGTTGGAGTGGGTACTGCCTTGTTGGATGAAGTGTATCATTGTGGGGGTGGGATTTGAGGTTTCCTATGCTCAGGATACTGCCCAGTGTCTCAGTGACTTCCTGTTGCCTGGAAGATGTAGGACTCTTCTGCTACCTCTCCAGTACCATGTCTGCCTGCATGTCATCATGCTCCCCACCATGATGATAATGACTGAATCTCTGAAACTATAAGCAATTAAGTCCCAATTAAGTGCTTTTCTTTATAAGAGTTGCATGGTTATGCTGTCTCTTCACAGCAATAAACCCTAAGAGAAGGAGGGGAGGGGGAGGGCACTGGGATTGACATGTAAAACAAGCTTGTTTCTAATTTAAATAAAAAATAAGTCACAAAAGTTCCAACATGCAAGATTAAGCTAATGATACTTTGTATATAAGGAGAAGAAATTGTCAGAAAAAAGAAGCTAGAAAAATCCTATCCACAGTATCAGCAAAAACAATAAAACATTAATGGGTTACTTGTAACCCAAACTATGAAATCCAATCTCAAATCTATAAAAGGTGAAATAATATGTACCTATACAAACAAATGGAAATATGTTCTGAAAAAATAAAAACAAAACAAGAAACCCACTGCATCTATGCACTATATCATGTTGAAAACATTATGTCCCAGTATCCATGCCGTTTGTAGTATTAGTGCCACCATTGCTTGGATAAAACAAATTTAAATTATTTTTACATTAAGATATAAAACTTTACCTTTGCTCGTAAATATTTCTACAAATGCTAAAACCTATATAAGGTCTAGCATCCAGTCATGATCACAAGGAGGCAAGATCCTATGACTAGAAAGATTAAATTACAAACAACAGAACAGACTGTTGACTCTGTACACAGAATGATCAGAGAGTAAAGATACAGGCAACGAAAAAGCCACAGAAAGGCTGCATGTTGGTACATGTCTTTAATCCCCAGCAGATCTCTGTGAGTTTTATTGTGGGGTATTTTGTTTGTATGTTTGTTTGTTTGATTTTGTTTTTTGAGACAAGGTTTCTCTGAAGCTTTGGAGCCTGTCCTGGAACTTGCTCTGTGGTCCAAGCTGGCCTCAAACTCACAGATATCCACCAGCCTCTGCCTCCAAAGTGCTGAGATTAAAGGTGTGCATCACCACTACCCAGGATCTCTGTGAGTTTAAGGACAGCTTTATGTACATAGTAAAACCTAATTTGGGATGAGGGGAGCCAAAGAACTTAAAATTACAAATGTTACTACAAATCTGAGCCAAAAGTAGAAATATTAAAACCAGACAATGATAAATATAAGACTAGGAAATTGGTAAGCA